GTATGTTCTAGCCTCCAGGGTCTCTCTTAAAATTGCACAGCAGTACTTGGAAAGTCATAACCAATCTTGGGATTAAGTGGACAACTTTCAAACAACCTGTGTCTTCCCAAACTCACCTATGCTACCTACCGTCTATCGGTTCTAGTGTTTTTTTTTTAGTATTTTACGATATTTATGTATCGTACTGGTCAATGGCCACAATAAATACGAAACTAAAAGCTATATTCGTGTGTTTTCAAGTAAGAAATAAAAAAAGAATTATCTTGGTCAACAGACAGGACAATTGGTTGCATCTGGAAGATGTTCATCTGGGGAAATCTGGTTCCTTTTTTTTTTTGCACAATTATTTAGACTAGCAGTATTAATTCTGACATATAGTCTTCAAGATCAGCTGGGTTATAAATTTCACAGCAAACCTCAAAGGCAATTTACTGAAATCTAAATGAAAGACCCAAAGATGTTTTTTCAAGAGGCAACTGGACACACTTGGTTTTTCCTTGAAGACGTTTCGCTTCTCATCCAAGACACTTCTTCAAGAAGAAGCGTCTTGGATGAGAAGCGAAACGTCTTCAAAGAAAAAAACAAGCAATGTCCACTTTTGGGACATCCATGACCTGGATGACTTGAGACCCTCCATAGACATCTAAATGAAAGAATTTAAGAGAACAAATCAGGCAGTTGCATTCTCTCCTTCAGTCCCTTAATTAGGACATCACCTTAAACTCGTGCTTTGGACTTGGTGGTCTCATCAGGATATACTTCTGAATGTAGCGGGATTATGCTGCAAATCTCCATGAGTGCTTCGGCTCCAATGAAGCAGAGCCAGCAAAGCCAGCAATGCACCATATGCCACCAAGGAACATTCCTTCTACTCATTGGATCAAACCAGCATGCAGTCCGTAAGGTGAAGCTACAGAACCTTTTAGACTCAACAGTCAAAAGAGTCAGGAGTGATAAGATTACAGTAGTGGCCCAAATTGTGGAAACCTTTTGGGAAAAGGGTACAGTAGATATGCCACCTTTGGATAAGTTTCCACCCATTTTTCTTCTCATTTCTTTATAACTGTAGCCTCATTCACTTAATAAACACTATTTTACATCGCTTTCTGGGCAACCGGTCAACTCTTTGCACCATTACTTTAATTTTATTGCGTTTTACAAGCTCACTTTAGAACACAAAAAAAACACTCAATCAACTTGATAGCGATCACATAACACACCAACAAACATCCTCTCAGCTTCAATACAGACATCCTTAACTGAATCCTACTGTGATCTGATTGGCTCATTGCCAAAACAAGATGACACCTGATTGGCTCTCTAAACACTCATGCTCATTGGCTACCATCAGATGAAGGAAAGCTACTTGAGATCAACCTAAGCAAGTTGTGTTTCCTTTTTCTGTTTATTTGGCTATAGCTTTTCGTAGAATACAGTACAGATAATTGAACAAACTATGTTGCATTACATTCTCGATTAAATTATCTTTCCATTGATATATAATTTTATGGTACTACTCTAAAAAAAAAGTGGTGTTATTAGCCATCAGACCTTAAAAATACACTTTTCCCAAAAGGTTTCCACAATTTTGGCCAGTACTGTAATGTTTCCACCAATGAACAATTATTCCCCCCCACCAGATTACCAACTGGCTCATTTGACTATGTGTTGTTGCTGGGGGTTGGGGTGAGGTTATTTTTTAAATTCTTTTATACTGGATTTTTACTGTTTGTAAGCCACCCAGAGTGAGAGTGAGTGGCGGCCACATAAATCTTCTAAATTAAATAAATAAAATTAGGCAAAGTGTCAGGGCATTTGTGGAAAACTCACGCCCATTGTCTTTCCTAATCAACTCTTATAAACTTAACTTTTATCTAAAGGCAAATTTCTGTGGGATCACGTAGGTCTGAAGCCAACCCAGGTCTGGAACAAATGTTCACGTACGGTATTTGGAGTTACGCTGGAAATACAGGAAGTGGATCGTGAACCAGATTACACCATCAAAATAGGCCCTGACCCTTAACGATTTTAATCATTTTGCTGCCCTGTTTCTGGAAGATACATTTGTTTGTGCAGTCTCACAGGAAACTATTTTATTTAAACAGGAAAGGACTTTATTTAAACAGCCACGCAATAGCAATGTTCATTGAATTTAAGGCTGAGGTGGGATTTGGGGGCAAAACCCGATTTCTGGCGTTTTAGTCACCGAAACGGTGCCGACCTACCTAAAGAATGGAAAGAGGATCGGGGTCCAGAATCTGGAGTAACATAAAGCTCATTCTCCTCTTGAATTTGTTCTCCGTTTAGCACATCGGTCCACCCTTGTCGGTGAAATTTGGGCGGGACAATGAAAGGAACACTTTTTGCTCTGTCCAAAGGCAAACACAGCATGGAGTTATATTAAAGAAACAAACAAACAAACAAAGCAATATCAGAAATCGAACTGCTCTGAAAACGGCTGCAGGCAAGGTTGAAATATCTGGAAGGCTTCCAAATGAAGTGGGAGAAATCGGAGCTTAAATCCACCCCGCTTGAAATCAAAGGGACTTAAAAGGGTGTTTTGACATTCATTGGATCGAGCTTGTTGCTTCCCAGCCCTTTTCTAGAATTACATTTCCTTTTTCTTTCTCATAATCGTAATTTACAGTCAGCGGGCCGGCAAAGTAGCTGCGACAGTTAAAACAACAACAACAACAAAAAAAACAGCCCATAAAAGCAGGCTGAACAAAATAAGAGCAATAAAACCACCATGTAGGTCTGACAAAACAAGACCAAGTAGACAACCTAAAATTAAGAGGGAAGGAGGAGGAGGAGGAGGAGGAGGAGGAGGAGGAGGAGGAGGAGGAGGACAGGAGGAGGAGGAGGAGGAGGAACAGTGAGAAAAAAAATTAAAACCAATAAGAGGAGAAAGAGTAACAGGCAGAAAGCCAAGTCTTCTTTACTTTTTGTGCTTATTTTAATTTGAAAATAATAATAATAGATAAATCCAGGAGATTTAAATTTTTCTGTGGAAAGATGGTTTTGGATTGAAACCCAACTTTAACCACAACATTGCCCAAAGAAGATTACTACTACAAATCATGGCTAAATTACTTTCGAGTATCATCCCCGGGACAAGCAGATTCTGAAATGCGACACATCTTGCTTTCATTTCTCTTCAACCACCCTGGGGAAATTAATTAATCTAAAGATAACTTCAATCTGATTATAAGAATAGACAGCGAGCTCTGAAAATCTGCTTAGATATTTTAATTAGAAAGCACGGCTGTCAAAAGAGGCTTCAACATCCTTTTAATGGCGGATCGATGAAAAGGTTTGAAATAAATGGTTGGGAACTTGATATGAACAGGTTGTGTACATTCTGCCCCAGGGCGGATACAAATTCTAGAGTTTTTTTCTCCCAGTTTACCCAATTCTCCTCCCTCCCTCTTTATTATCTTTCCTGGAATATCTTCTGTCTCCAATTAGCTAGTCATTAGAAGGAAGAGTTTTCCCCAGCTCTTCAAAGGATAAAAAAAATCTGTTGAATCTCTCTCTTAATGTCATGTGCCTTTAAGTTATTCGTGCTTATTTTATTGTTCACGCTGTTATTATGCAGACAGGGAAAAGCTGAGCAAAATATCTGCTGCTCATTTCATTTACTGAATAATTGTTTGGTTTTTTGGAATCCTGGGGTTGGGGTCTTAAATACCTGCGTTATTTTTGTGCATTTCTTTGACTACTTGGTAGAGAAGAACGGAAGATGAGGGACTCAAAATGTCTCCAGCCCAGTGTTCAGAGAGGCCTTGGAGTCCCAGGGTTGATTGTCCATCCCCAAAGCCTGACCCAACTGAGGTGACCCACTTGAGACTTGACTGGATTCCCCATCCCTGGCAAAGGAAGGAGATCCCAAAGAATTTGATGGCGCGGAGAGACCTTCTGAAGGGTAGATGATGGCCAGCAGGAAGGACCTTTTTTGTACCTGGCGTTTTGAGGAGGAACGGAAGTTGATTGAGCAACATCTGGCTCCTGCAGAACCGGGGTGACTGGATCAGTCAGTTCTTCATAAGAGCCCTTGAGATATTTACTCTTCCAGAAGAGGTAGGCGGCTATCCCCAGAAGGACCAGAAGCAGAAGTCCAGCTACTACTCCACCAGCCACAGCAACTGCCTGTTCTGGGTACACAAAGACTCACATGCATGGGGTGGAGTGGGGGAAAGAGAAGACATCCCCTTCCCAAAGATAAAAAAAATCATATTGCCCAACGTTCTGGCCAGGTGTTTATTTTCTGCGTAATGCTCCAGCTTTATCTCCATCACTTTCTTCAAGCATGCCACAACTTCTCTTTGTCCTTTCAGGCCAACCTCAGCTCTTATCTAGGGGCTATTTGACATCTCCACCCAGTGCCTTCCACTTAACTGGAAAGGACCATCTTGACTCTTGTCCTATAGCCAACAGGCCAAATAAATAGAATTGCGTCTCAATGTTCAAATACCAGAGAAGTCAGAGTCACGTTCGCCAACTGCGCTACGCACCAAGGGAGTGTATAATGGGCACCCGTTCTCCCTACTGCTCCTCTTTCAAGGAGGGTCCAGACCCAACCCTTCTCCAAATGAAAGAGATCCGTTCCTTAAAAGTAACATTTAGTAAATTACCTACCCCTGAAGTTGCCATGCATCCTGGAAAAAATGAACATCAGCCCCAATGTCAAGCAAGAAAGGAAAGGAAGGACATTGCTGCTAGCCCTCCCTCCGGGACTAGGTTACAAAGCCATTGAGTCACCATGATTGCACTGCGTGTAAATGCGTTGGAAGGTACTGATAGAAGGGGATATTGGTAGCTCAGGGTTCAGCTGTGGGGTCCTGGGTGTTCTCTGAGCTCGGTTGTTTTCTGGCAGATATTTCATGACCCAACTAGGTAAGATCTGGTAAACAGAGAGCCAATCCACTCCCTTCTAGCACTGCTGATGTTAGCTAGTTGGCTAATGAAACATCTGCACGAAGACAAGCCAGCTCGGAGGACTCCAAGGACCCCACACCACAGCCTTGACCGTTTTCATGATGAGGTTCTTTGGCCCCAAAGCAGCTGGCTTGGGCAGCAGTAGAAGACTCAACCATGCAAACATCTCCCAGGGGTTGTGTTTGGAAGGCTATCAGAGGCATATTGGGGCCTTTGGCTTGTCTGTAGTCCCAACACAAAGAGCAATCTGGGAGAAATAGTAGAATTAAACCGCCATCACTCCTTCAACCTTTTTCTCCCTGTGTTCAGCATTTTCAACCACAAGACATTAGCAAGCCATCAACGGTAAACTATGCATCACTTTGCAGCTATTAGCAATATTTTGCCTCTTGGAAAAACACAACTGTTGATTTATGGTTCATCCCTTGTTTTGTTATCCCCCACCCCGTCAATAAAGTGTGTGGTTCATTTCCTTCTCAGATAGCCCTTTAATAGACATTGGATTTATCTGTGTTAGAAATAGGTGCCTGTTTCAGAGAAACAATGGCCAACTAGCACAGTGGTTCTCAACCTGTGGGTCGGGACCCCATTTGGGGTCGATCGACCATTTCATGGGGGTCGCCAAGCAAGGCTGTCCGCCATTTTTTTTGTCCGCCATTTTTTCCCCTTTTCCGGCGGGTGCCTTACCTCCCTTGGGCTGGGCCAGCTGGTGGTCGGCCTACTCCGTCTCTGCTGCTTGCCAGCTACGCCTCGGCCGGCTCAGGGGGCGGAACCACGCATGCGCGGCGCTCCCGGGCAGGGAAAGTCCTCGACTTACGACCGGTTGGGTAGCCCTCGACTTACGACCGGTTTAGTCCTCAACTTACGATCGGTTTAGTCCTCAACTTACGACCGGTTGGGGTCGCGGCATTAAAAAGGTTGAGAACAACTGAACTAGCACATCCCTACCTGGGATTCTAGGTTGTTAAGTATGATGCTCAAGGGACTTTAAGTGCAGGGGGAGGCTGGTGGCTGCAATCATCCGGCCAGGAAATGAGACTGGCCATTTTCCATGAAAGTTCAGCATTAATATTTTAAAATTGACCCGTAGACATCAACACAGATTCATGCAGATTAACGGTACAGGCTTGATTTATATGTAAAAGTTCCTGCCGCAGTTTTGTGAACATGCAGCAATGGTCCTGCATTGTTAATCGAAAAACAGAAAGAAGCTGAGTACGACCAGAATATTCTCGTTTATGCATTCCTTGCATTCGTACGCAATCACTTGGCTAGACTTTAAGGACAGGCCATGAGCGACAGGAATGCAAAGGTCTTTTTCCTTCCTCTGGCAGCGGACAAGTAAAATGAGATATAAAATAAATAAAGGCAGATCGAAGTGGCATTTTTAAGGATGCAGCAACGAGTCTGGCTTGGAAAAAGATAGAACGTTCTTCCTCAGCCTGAAGGGCAGAACATCTCCTTAGCTTCTGCATCTGTGAAACCTCAAAAATGGCAGAGAAAAGGCTGGTGACCTTGTCAGTGGGACCTCAGGGTTCCTCCTCTCTCTCTCTCTCTCTGAAATAATTGTCATTCATGAGATTGGAAAAAGAGGGAGGACAACGACAATAGCTGGAAAGGGATACAGGTAGTCCTCGTCTTAACGGCTGAGCCCAACATTTCACTTGCTAAGCGAGACGTTTGTTAAGTGAGTTTTGCCCGATTTTACGACCTTTTCTTGCCACAGTCACTTACTGCAATTGTTCAGTTAGTAACATGGTCGTTAAGTCGATCTGGCTTTCCCCCGTTGACTTTGCTTTTCAGAAAGTAACAAAAGGGAATCACATGTGATCCCGGGACACACTGCGACCGTCGTAAATACGAACCGGTTGCCAAGCGTCTGAATTTTGATCCCCGGACGATGAGGATGCGGCAACAGTCATCATTGTGAAAAACGATCGTGTCACATTTTTTCAGTCCTGTAGTAACTTGGAAGGGTCACCAAACAACCTGTTGTAAGTTGAGGGATTACCTTTATTCGTTGTCTTAACTTTACAAGGACTTGGTGAGTAGAGACGCTAGGCGTGATTACTGCCAAGTTTCCAGCGTCAGTTTCAGAAATATGTCAAAGGAAAAAAATCTTCTCTGTGGGGAAATTTCTCTGACTCCCTGGAACTCTCTCTTTTTGATCAAGTCCCTCAAACTTCAAGCCCTCTTGAAGAGGGTCTGAGATCTTATTTCCTCAGGATTTGCTTTTAACACCTTTTTTTGTTAGACCAGTGCAACCCCCAGATTTAGGAACGTTCCTTCAGCCTGCCAAACGTTCCTTCAGCCTGCAAAGAATTTAACAGCAGTTCAGACGTGAGAATTAGAGAGAGCTGGATAAGGGAGCAGATACCCTGACAAAGTAAAGGTAAAATGTGGAGAAGGTAATGACGCCCGTAGAGTATTGAGAAAGGAATTTGCTGCAAAAGTTGTCAATCACCATCGCTGTTCTCTTTATATCCTAAGAACAATACACTTTTAAAGAGAGAGAAAAAACTACAGCCCAAGTTCAAAATAGAGATCTAAAACCCAGATAGAGGATGGTCTGGTCTAGGCTGGAGATATTCCTGCAGATTGTGCAAACAGGGCTGGGAGAGAGAACCAGGGGCATCTACTCAGATTCTTAATTCTGCATATCAACAGTTGGTAACTTAAAGCTTAACTCCATGCCTTGTCGGCTCGGTCCAGCTGGACAGAAATATCAGCTAAGCCGAGAGAAGTAAGACAGATTCCCACTTTTGAAACCACCTGAATTGGAGACACGTTCCAAGAGACCAGGCGACGGATGCCACTAAGCGAGCATCCAAAAGTGAGATATGTTTGCCCTCCTCCTCCTCCTCTGACTCTTCTCTCCCATCTCCAAAGGTGGGGCTCCTGCTCTGAGCAATAGGGATGTTCCTTACCAGACATGGCACCTAGGCAGGAAAAACTGTGAAGTTCTCCGGATCTTCTGTTGCACTGCAGCTCAGAGCTTCAATTCCATCTTGGACCCAACTCTTCAATGCACCACTTTTTTCCTCGGAGTTGTCCTCTTCTGCTCTCCTCTGATGTATCTGAGGTGGTGGTGGTGGTGGTAGCAGCAGCGGGAGCAGTAAGACAGGACTTCTTCTCAGCTGCAGTTCCTCTGCTCCCCACAGCCTCCTTCGGATCTGATATACCTGTGATTGACTTGAGAGACGAAAGCTGCAAGAACTCCATTCGGTCAGTCGCTGCCTGCCTTTGACTGTTGAAGAACCAGCTCCTCCTCCTGGTCACAAACCAGCTCCTTAATGTTTCAGGGCTGCGGGGAAGCTGCCAACTCAAGGGAGGAGGTAGCAAGTGAGTCCAGGAGGGCAGCATCTCCCTCTTCCTTCCTGGAAAGAGAGGGGTTAGCTCCTGGCTCTGAAGCATCCTTCTGACCTCAACTGTCTGGGATGAAGAACTGGAGCAGAAGAGCAAACTGTAATGAATTTTTTTTTCTTGCTTTGGCTTTCACATTAAATTGTAACTCTTAAAGTGTATTATGGCGTAAGGCACAAACAGGAAAAGATGATTAGGGGACTGGAGACTAAAGCATATAAGGAACGGCTGCTGGAATTGGGTATGTCTAGTTTAATGAAGAGAAGGATGAGGGGGGACATGATAGCAGTCTTCCAATATCTCAGGGGCTGCCCCAAAGAAGAGGGAGTCAAGCTATTCTCCAAAGCACCTGAAGGCAGGACAAGAAGCAATGGATGGAAACTGATCAAGGAGAGAAGCAACCTAGAACTAAGGAGAAACGTCCTGATGGTTAGAACAATTAACCAGTGGAACAACCTGCCTCCAGAAGCGGTGAATGCGCCAACACTGGAAGTTTTTAAGAAGAGACTGGACAGCCATTTGTCCAAAATGGTATAGGGTTTCCTGCCTGAGCAGGGGGTTGGACTAGAAGACCTCCAAGGTCCCTTCCAACTTTATCATTATTATTATTATTTCCCTTCCATGCTCAGGGGAAGGCGGAAATAAAAACATCTCTCATCTTTCTTTCTTTCTTTCTTTCTTTCTTTCTTTCTTTCTTTCTTTCTTTCTTTCTTTCTTTCTTTCTTTCTTTCTTTCTTTCTTTCTTTCTTTCTTTCTTTCTTTCTTTTAAACTTGCACGAGGCCACTTGCTTCTCCAAAAGCGGCGGTGGGGATTCCAGAGGCTTCTGGGGCAGGTTGACAAAGATTCTGGTGTTTTTTTAACTAGTGTAAAAAGCTCCGTTCTTCCGCTTTCCCAGCAACGTATCTTAACTGGAGAGGACGCAGCCCAATATTTAGAACACCGGGTGAGCCCACCGGGCAAGATCTCCAAGTAAAGAGTGGCCAGTGGACATAATTAACTTCGAAGTCGTCTGGAGTAAAGTTAGGCCCATGAAACTGAAAAGGGACTGGGTATGGCTAGTCTAGTGAAGAGGAAGGATCAGGGGAGAAATGATAGCAGTGTTCCAATAGTTGAGGGGCTGTCACAGAGAGGAGGGGGTCATCCTATTTTCCAAAGCACCTGAAGGCTAGACAAGGAACAACGGATAGAAACTGATCAAGGAGAGATTCAACCTAGAAATAAGGAGAACTTTTTTTTGATGGTGAGAACAATCAACCAATGGAACAGAAGTTGCCTTCAGAGGTTGTGGGAGCTTCATCACTGGAGGCTTTCAAGAAGAGACTGGACTGCCATCCGTCAGAAATGGTGTAGGGACTCGTGCTTGGGCAGGGGGTTGGACTAGATGACCTACAAGGTCACTTCCAACTCTGTCTATTCCATTCCATTCCATTCCATTCCATTCTATTCTATTCTATTCTATTCTATTCTATTCTATTCTATTCTATTCTATTCTATTCTATTCTATATTTCTATTCTATATTTCTATTCTATTCTATTCTATATTTCTATTTCTATTCTATTCTATTCTCTTCTATTCTACTCTACTCTACTCTACTCTACTCTACTCTACTCTACTCTACTCTATTCTATATTTCTATTCTATTCTATTCTATTCTATTCTATTCTATTCTGTATTTCTATTCTATTCTACTCTATTCTATTCTACTCTATTCTGTATTTCTATTCTGTATTTCTATTCTATTCTATTCTATTCTGTATTTCTATTCTATTCTATTCTATTCTATTCTGTATTTCTATTCTATTCTATTCTATTCTGTATTTCTATTCTATTCTACTCTATTCTATTCTACTCTATTCTGTATTTCTATTCTATTCTATTCTATTCTATTCTACTCTACTCTACTCTACTCTACTCTACTCTACTCTACTCTACTCTACTCTATTCCATTCCACTCTACTCTACTCTACTCTACTCTACTCTAGTCTGTATTTCTATTCTATTCTAATTCTATTCTATTCTATTCTATTCTACTCAGATCATTTTGCAAAATGCCCTTTAGGACCTGTTTTTCTGGAAACCCTCCATAAGCTTTACCTACTGTGGATCAGCAAGGGGTGGTTTCAGGCCAAAATCTGGAAATTTCATTGGAAAGGCTCCATAAATGGATGGCTTTAGAGGCAGAGCAGGTATGCTACATGTATACGTGCTACAGTCTAACCTGCCAATAGTGGAGTTCTCTGCTTCTAAGTTGGGTGGGTGGGTGGGTGGGTGGGCTGGGAATACCAGGAATAGCCAAGGAAACCAACAAACAGATCATTGAGACAATCAACCGGATGACTGAAAACTCAAAACACAAGTGACCAGGCTCAAATGATTATCCTTTGGACATCATCTTTGAAGAATCTTGACTTCCGGAGAAGTCTACAATGCTGAGAAAAAAGTGGAAAGAGAAGAAAAGGACGACAGCAAGGCGGATGGACTCAACTGCAGCAACCACGGGAGCATCATTGGAAGACAATGGAAGATCAGGTTCGTCCTGCCCTTCTTCTGAATTTTTAAAAAAATAAAATAAAATGGGAGGTGTGGCTTAGGTGGCCATCCTGGAATTCCTCTTTTTTTTATACTTGGCGTGATTACTAGGCCAGCCATTGTTGTGATGGCTGGGTCCTACCCTACTGGGCTAGGAGACAGGGGAGTCCAGTCTCCCCTCCTCCATTCACAAGGCTACCGATTCAGGATCTGTTGGAAAGTGTGGTGGTTCCTTTGTGTTCCCTCTCTGCGGGGGAGCCCAAGACAGACAGGGGCAAAGACGCATGTGGTCCCAGCCTCATCTGATCAGCAGGCAGCTCCTTCCACTCCACTTTGGAACTGCTCCTCAATGCGGAGAACCCCAAGCTCTTCCACATCCAGCTCTAGAGTCTTCTTTATTCCAAAAATGTTTGGCATGGGCTTCTCTCCTTGGCATACGCTGCCCCTTTCACATTGCCCCAAGGTGGTGGGTCTGGCTGCACTCACTGCTTTATCTCCCTAGCTTTTAAGGGCCCCCTTTCTCTTTTCTCCCCTCTCTCCTCCCCTTCTTGTTTTAATCTGATGAAACACATAGGATTATCTCCGTCCCTCGCGGCCTGTCTCCATTTTGTTCCCTCACTGTCTGCTGAGGTGGGGAGTGGGGGAGAGTGGGGTAGGGAATCCTTGAGAGAGGGTATGGGGTCTTCCCTGTCACTGACAAGGGGTGGACCATGCCCTCTTCTCTGATCTTGTTTGGTTGCCTTCCTCAGCTTCAATTCTCCGAAGAAAAGATCCCACGGGAAGTTCAAAACTCTCCCGGAGGCTGATCGGGTTTTGTCTCTTGACTCCTGAGCATCCTTTTCGACGACTCCTTCTCAGATCTGGACGGTGAAATCTCCGGGTGTGGAAGGGAAGGTAAGGATCTTTGCAGACTATCTTTCATTCTTCCCCCCTTCTGTTGACTGAAACCTTATTTTAGAAGCTGGCCTTTGGGTGAATGACAAAGGGGAATTCTGTAAACATTAGAAAAGCAACGGAGGCAGAAGCAGGCGGGGTAGAGACAGGAAACCTGATTAAAAAAAACAACAACCGGAGCAATTATCCAGTTTTATTCTAGAGACAGAAAGAGAATCGCTGCTAAAGAAAGCCCAATCAGAAGCTAAGAAATACAATCAGATCAGTAATTCTGAGAGCAGGCTTCATTGGAGGAATTTTAAGAAAGAGTTGGCTCCAGCTGTATATGATTCAATCCTTCTACCTGATGTGATAGAAAAAGAACTTGATGGTTGTTTGAAGGGAACGTGAAGGTATACTTGATGTATTTGCTCTGCTCTCTACTTCTTCCAGATTAAGATAGAAAACAGGTTCTAAAATTGAGTTGACGCCTTCTAGAACTGGGCCTTGGGTTTAGTTGAACTCTGTGTGCGTCTCATATTGATTTCTGAGTTTCCAGTCACTGCTTGAACGATTTAGAGATGCAGATAATGGATTTCTTGCTCTCCACTGAAACGCAGGGAGGAGGCAAAATAACTTTACTATTATTTCATTGTCGGTTGCATCCTCTGTAGTGACCGACCTATTGACTATAATATTCTGCAATTACTATAACTCAGTTCTGTAATTCTCTGAAAGAAAGCCGGCTACTCACGCTTTGTATTAATCCTTAGTTATAGCCATTAAAAAAAATGAGAGATGGGTCCATTCTTAGCTGAGATGACAGCCCTAGCAACTAAAAAACATTTTGATGGATGTAAACAAGAGACGATTAATTTAAAGCCGGTCAAATGAAACGATGCTGGCAGATTTGAAACGCCAGAAAATTAGACGGATCTATTGGCTGACACACGTGAGGTCACTTGTTTCTTTCTCCACCAGGAAAAAAAAATACTGACAAATGTATGTTTTATCGATCAGAGTTTGTATTCCTTTCCTTTTAATCGGGCCTGTTCAACGGTGGTATTAAATATGAATCTGGAGATGGAACATATCCGCCTGGACGGATAAAATAACATGCAAAAAAAGGGGTTATAATAATGTTAGTGGGGGGGGGAGGTTTGCTGCAGTTACAAACCATAGGATTACTCCTGTGGAAAAGTGAAGCTTAGGACTGAGATAAATGAGAATAGCATGCCATTTGTGCGGAATTAAATCAACAAGGAAGGGGGAGCACACGACGTTTTTGAACGCGAGGAAATGTAACAAGGTTTTAACAACGTAGATGGGAGGTTATTGAAAAACAGAACACGGGAAATTTCTCCCCTGAATTTCAATATCTCGTTTATGCAATGCAGAACTGGGATTTTTCCAGAACATGTCAAAAATTAAAGAGGACGTAAGAAAGAACTTGAAGAATCAGCCGGCATATTTAGGAACGGCGTCTTTCTTTCCTTGGAGACCAAATTGACCCTCTTTATTTGGTGTCTTGACACTAGAAGAGAATATTGGAAAATACCTGTGCCTGAAACTTGCTGGTTGTTGTTGTTGTTGTTGTTATTATTATTATTATTATTATTATTATTATTATTATTATTATTATTATTATTATTATCATCATCATCATCATCATCATCATCATCATCATTTGCAAATTTTCAGAAACACAGTCAAGATAAAAGAGATGGCCCTGGCCATCTTTTTAAAAGGATCTTTTCATATTTTTTTTGTGTATGCAACTCTGTTTCTTTCTTTTCTTTTTTTTAATTCCAGGACCTTTTTTTTTGTCTCTGTGTGTGGTAATTAGTGACCCAGAAGAGATTAAAAAGGCTGGATTAAAAAGAGGACATGTCTCTCGAACCATTAATAGCTATGCTGGATTTCACCCAAGGCAGATAAATGTAGTTGTTAAACTTTAAGAACTTAATGGAATGCACTGCTGCTCAGGCTATACAGAGAGAGGAAGGAAGGAAGGAAGGAAGGAAGGAAGGAAGGAAGGAAGGAAGGAAGGAAGGAAGGAAGGAAGGAAGGAAGGAAGGAAGGAAGGAAGGAAGGAAGGAAGGAACAGAGAGAGAAAGGGAGAGAAGGAAGGAAAGAATAGAGGGAGGGAGGGAAGGAAGGAAGGAAGGAACAGAGAGAAGGAGGGAAGGAGAGAAGGAAGGAAGGAAAGAACGGAGGGAGGGAAGGAAGAAAGGAACAGAGAGATGAGGGAAGGAGAGAAGGAAAGAAGGAAGGAAGGAAGGAACAGAGAAGGAGGGAGGGAGAAAAGGAGGGAAGGAAAGAATAGAAGGAGGGAGGGAAGGAAGGAAGAAACAGAGGAAGGAAGGAAGGGACAGAGAGAGAAGGAAGGGAGGGAGGAAGAAACAGAGGAGGGAGGGAGAGAAGGAAGGAAAGAACAAAGGGAGGGAGGGAAGAAAGGAAGGGAGGAACAGAGAGAGATGAGAGAAGGAGAAGGAAGGAAGGAAAGAACAAGGAAGGAACAGAGGAGGGAGGGAGGGAGGGAGGGAGAGAAGGAAGGAAGGGAGGAAGGGAGGAAGAAAGAAACAGAGGGAAGGAGAGAAGGAAAGAACAAAGGGAGGGAAGGAAGGAACAGAGAGAGATGAGGGAAGGAGGGAGGGAGGGAGGGAGGGAGAGAAGGAAGGAAGGAAGGAAGGAAGGAAGGAAGGAAGGAAGGAAGGAAGGAAGGAAGGCTCAATTACTCAACCATAAGCTCTGCACTAGTTGGAAACTGCTAGAGAGACCAAACCCTCTCAATGTAAGGCACCATGGCAAACGCACAGCCTCCCTCTTCTCCAGGGGTTCCTGTAATGTACTCCTTAAGGGATGGCCATGATGTTGGTAAGCCAGCTTTTAGATTTGCCCTGCTCTTCTTCTAGCAACAGCTTGGAGAGCAGAGAGCAAGCGCATATGGAGCGTTAACCCTCTGCCACGGTGTTCTAGCTCCTTTGTTTCCTTTGTGTTGTTGCAGATGTTATGGTTGTGTATGGAGATTCCCAGTCATCCAGGTCACGGTTGTCCCAAAGGTGTTTTTT